TGTGTGGTGTGAGTAGGTTGTCGGTCCCCTCCAACACAAACCAGTCTGGGATTCCATGAAATGCCCCCTGTAGGGCAGGGAGCTGGAATCCTAAATCACAAAGGGCTGCAAATGTAAGCAGGAAAACTTCCTGCTTCTCATCCTGAGACAATGCAAGCCATGAAATATTATAAACATAATATGATATTTTTATAATTTTAAGATAGTCGAGACCCAGCATGTTCTTGTTCTCACTGTAAAGAATTCCCCTACTCATCAAAACAACTAAAGTTGTCATCTCAGCAAAGAATTTGGCTTCTATGAAGGAGTACAACAAGCAGTGGGCATGTAATGCAGGGGTAGAGGGAAGAGGCTGAACAAGAGAGAGTGTTGGAAAAAATCCAAAAGAAGTTAAAAGAAAAAGTAATTATTCCAACAGAATGGTTTTATCATCCTTGTATCAGCTACACTGACCTCTGAAGCAGCCAACTAAGTAAGCAGGAGGAGTATCAAGGGTAGATGGCTGAGCAGTTAATCCTAAGCCTTTAAAAAACCCCTGTGGCAGTGCACAGGGATACACACAGCTCCTCTGTCAGCTTGCCCAGCTAATCTGGGTACACATGCTGGCATTACTGAGGTGTTTACATCTTCAGAGCCACCCACAGGAACACTGACAATTAAAAATCAAAATAATACAAATAACCAGCAACCCCCCCCCAAACTTAGCCCCAGACTCTTGGGAGTGTGTGATTCCACCAGCCCCGGAAGCTTCCAACAAACACAAGTCATGACACCTGCTCAGCAGCAGTTAAAGCAGCAATTCTCCACCAGCAAGGTGCAGGGCACAGAGCAGCCGAGTGGACTCACCCTTCCAGGAACCAAGGGGATTGTGGCTTCAGCCTTGGTTCTCTCTGCCTCGTCGTAACTAGGCAGTGTTGTGGCCACGTTGTAAGATGGAGGCTTAGGAAATCCTGACTCATCCTTGTAGTCAAAATAAGCTGCAAAACAAAGGGTATACAGAAAGTGAGTTGTGGGTTCTCTGAGAACACCGTGTTGGGAACGAGTGGTGTTTTGGATGACTTCAGAAGACTGTCAGATCCGGCCCCTCCTGTTCCCTCCCAGCCTCCTGCCATCCCAAAACAGAAAGTGGAAAACACGGGAGCACCTCATGTGATATAAAGCAGTGCTCTGGGTATCAGTGAAAGAGGCCTGGCTGTTCTTGTTTAGGACAGGGATACACGCTGTGTCTCTCCTGACTTTAATGAACAGGAGCAGTCATATATTTCAAACCCAAGTGCTTTCAGTGACTTGAAGGCTCACTGCAAGCCCCAGCCCACCGGTGACCAATCTTTCCAGTGGGAGACTCCAAACTGTTTTCTGATGGAGGGGAAAGGGATTGGAGTAAAAGTCAAACATCACGTTTCTGAGCCCCAGTCACTGAGATGCACTAAAGAACCAGAACTAACAGGACATCTTCATGGTGACTGTGCCAAGGCAGGGTGTTCAACAGGCAGCTTGAGAAACACAATATCCAAACTTCTATCCACAGCTGGCTGACTGAGACACTGACAGTATGCTGCATTTGATTCACAGATCTTATCTGAATAGTTGACTATGAAAAACATAGGGAAAAAGTGAGATCTACCTAAGCCAAAATACTCTGATACATAACCAACACAAACCAAGCTGTTTTGCTAAAAGCTATTAGGGACATGACAGTGTGATGATTCAGAAATATAATCCTTAGGACAAAGTCCTTAGTTACTGAAAACTGCAGGAAAAGTGAATTCTTAATCCCTTTTAAGTAACAAGCCCTTTTTGGAAGGAGCACAGCATCATCCAAATGGCAAATAATGAGAGGGGAACCACAAATCCTCACAGCACTTTGATTTTTAACCATCTTCAATCTGCTGAGAACACCACGAAATGTAACTTGAACACCACTTGATGGGATGACATCAGATGAATGTAGGCAAAGTGCATCTCCTAAACCACAAGTAGCAGCAGTCTCTCTGGATCAATTCTGATCCTTTGCAGCCTTGGCAAGGATGCTGCAATGCCACCCATCAGTAAGGAGAACAAGTAAGAAAGAAGAGCAGAGCAAAGCTCGCTTTGTGAGTGAAATGTACCTGTACTCTCTGCAGAAATGCTGCTGTAAGGCGGAGGGGCATCGTTCAGCACGGGTGCAGTCTCGCCTGGCTCCTCTTCGTTCTGCAGCTGAACAGAGCCACACACACAGAGGTTACCGGTGCTCCCCGAGCTCTGTGAAACCACCCCGTAGTTTTAATTGCACACAACAGACTCCTCTGTTGGACGACTGTTATGCAGCACCATGGGACACATGAGCTCAGCCTCCCTCCAAACACTCCCACTTGAAATGATCTATACATCGTCTCAGCTTCAGTGCGGTTTTAGTCGTGTACTCGCACACCCGGACAACACAGAGCACACATCTGTTCAGGACCTTCCCGTTTCCCTGGCACTTCCTCAGCTCACACTGCTTAGGAACTGTGATTACACCTGGTTTAGTCAAAGGAACACCACGAGACACCCAACAGAAGACTCCCTTGCTGCCTGTGGCTTTGCTAAGGAAGGGTTTTTTCATGGATACGTTACATAAAGATACATGTAAGTGTGAATCTTGCCATTTCCCTTCAACCTTTCACACTGCATGACTGAAAAGGAGACGGTTTATTTTGTGCACTGTGCCTCCCACAGGCTCTGTATAAATAACCACACAGCTTATCAAACACAGAGTGTCACTTGCATGAAGCAGGCACGTGAACACAGGCTTTGGTCAGAGAATCCAGCAATACCAGGGCAGAAGTGTCCAAAGCAGAACCCACCAGAAAGAAATTTGCAAATCAGCTGCCACCTAATGATGTTTTCTTCTTCTTTCAATTTCTCACCATCTCACCAACTACCTTCTTGTGTAATCACCGCAGAACAAGAGTAACCCTGCAACCTCTTCCTCAACATCTCCTTGACCTACCCCTCCCATATACCCACACTAACACTCTTGAAGTCATCCATGATGTTTTAGTTTTTTTTCTCTGGAAAGACACGCTGCCATTCAAGTCCTTCCCAAGCATTTCATGCAAGGGGTCAGGGGGTGGGAATATGTTCCTATTTTACTTCATGTCTTATCAGGAAAAATCAGAATCAGCTCACACTTCTAAATGAAGGATTTGTTTCATACATAACTGTTGTATGTCTTGTGTTTTTATTCCTTTTGCTGCTTAAGATCAAAGATCAGACTACGTCCACGTGCCCTGTGGAAGTCAGAGCCAATACTTTCTCAGATGTTTGAAGTGCAGTTCAGTGGATATTTGGATCCAAACCACAGCTGAGAGTCTGAACTGTGAGACATCTGAGTCCTACAAGCTGAGAAGAATCACAGAATCACAGGGTGGTTTGGGTTTGGAGGGACCTTAAAGCTCCTCCAGTTCCAACCCCCTGCCACAGGCAGGGACACCTTCCACCAGCCCAGGTTGCTCTGCTGCAGAAGCTCAAGCGCAGGCTGCACACAGCCCGAGAGGGGCAAGCTAAGGGATGATCCAGTGCAATGCAGAGTCAAACCAGCTGATTCAGTCCCTCCCAGCTCTGTAGTCTAGGAATTCTCAGAGTGCTCCACCGTGCTTATTTTCAGTCCACCCACGAAAATTCAATACTTCTTCCTTCTTCTTCTGCCTATGCAGGACCCACTCTATTACCGAAGGAGGAAAGGCTCCAACACACCAGGAACACTTTGGATACTGCATTCCCTGCACTACCTGCTCGCCTGGTGAAGGGGTGGCAGAAACTAAACCCCTAATGCATGCAAAAAAGACGACATGTACAGCTTAAAAGCACAATCACCAAGGAGAGGGAAGGAAAGCACTAGATGTGACAACACTGGGAGAGATGAAATGAAAGAGGACACAGATTGTTGAGCAGAACATTAATTCCTACCACTGGAATTCTTATAAGGTTCTTCTTTCAATAGTAAAAAGGAACACCTATTTTTACAACAATGCTGTGCGGGAGAAAGTGGGCTGAGCTTAGTGCTGGCTTCAAAGCATTACAATCCAGGTAATGACACAAAAACTGCAGTTACTTTTGGAAGCGGAGCTCAAGGCCGTAGGAGGTATAGTTACAGAAAACAGCTTTTTCTTCTAATGGACAATGTACACAAATGCCTGCCAGCCTTTTTAATGATTCCAGGCACCTAGAATTCAACTAAGAGCCTATTAGCGAAGCAGCAAGGGTTCATGTGGCAGGAAGAATGAATCACCAGGCTTCGTGCGGTGCAGCACTGCCCTCGCCTCGCGCGCTCCGCCTGCCCCCTGCAGCGGCAGGGATGCGCTGAGCCACGCTCCTCGGGTTTGCAGGCAACTCCCCCTTGGGCCACTGCTGAGTCTTCAGAACCAGAGAGCCCAGTTAAAGCAGGGTTTGACTTATGTTTGTTTTGCTGAGGTTGTGGGTCTTCTTTCTTTGATTCACTGATGAACTGTAGCTTTTAAAGCAAGGTTCTTGTATTTGAGGCTTTAAAAAAGAATCATAGAATCCCGGACTGGTTTGGGCTGGAAGGGACCTTAAAGCTCATCCAGCTCTAACCCCCTGCCACAGGCAGGGACACCTTCCACTAGAGCAGGTTGCTCCAAGCCCCTGTGTCCAACCTGGCCTTGAACACTGCCAGGGATGGGGCAGCCACAGCTTCTCTGGGCACCCTGTGCCAGCGCCTCAGCACCCTCCCAGGGAAGAGCTTCTGCCCAAGAGCTCATCTCAATCTCCCCTCTGGCAGGTTACAGCCGTTACAGCCACTCACACAGTATTAAAACCAAAGCCTGGCTGTGATTTTTTCACCAGATTGCTAAACCAACAGAGAGTTCCTGATACAATGGGATGAGACTCAGGGACATTTCTGTTCAGAAACCCACCATCAGAAGCTTGGCTCCGAGCAGGACATCTCCTCTGGCTGCTGCTTCCCCTGCTCTGTCACGTGTAAATACACACAGCACGGCAGCATGAAAGCTCAAAACTGACAGTGTCTTGAAATAGTTCCATGTAAACTTTGAAGAAAGCACTTCCAATAAATATATTTGTTAATTCTTCTACATTTGCTGATCTTGGCACATGAGCTGCTGACACACATTTACATCCTGGGGGGTTTTAACCTCCCCTTGCCCCTTGCACAGATTCTTTACACTAATTCAGCACTACTACGAGCTTTGCCTTAGCAACAGATCATCAGTAATACATTAACTCAGCCACAGATCATCCATGTTTACTGCATTTCAGTTCTTATTTTATGTTCTGGCACACAAGGCAGAACAGCACAGAAATCCCACAGAGGAAGACAACCCTGATCAGATTCCCATTTTTGTTGTTACTGTGGTTTCTCTGAGATTTCAGAAGGCAGATATTTAGGCTAATGACAGAAAGAGAACTGGTATTTGTTTTCAAAGGCAACAGGATCGATGTTTTCAGAGCAATGGAATCATCACCTTTGCAGGCCAGATGCTAAGAATAAATGTGTACCACTACTGAATTTGAGAGTACTCCAGCACAGCAAGAGCCTGCCCACAAACAGGTTACACTTCGCTCCCATCGCAACACCCCTTACTCCTCTCTTTCCGTATCTCTGGACTTGTGGAAGCAAATGAAAGTTGCTGCCAACGATGAAGAAGAGAATTATTTTCACTGACTTATGCTTCCTTACTCACCCTGACTTGAAATCCTGACTTTTGCCCAATGCTGTTGAAGATTCCTGTAACTTATCGTCCCCTTACTAATCATCAGGAACAACGATAAGCTGTCAGACAAGGTGTCCACATCCATCAGCCCTCTCCCTGATGAGCAAATAACTGTTTTCTCTGTCGGCACTTCCAGTTCATTTAGCCCGAGGCGTGACAGTCCTGCCCCAGCCCCACGTGCTGTCGGCTCTGCGGTGACACTCTCAGCAGTCACACTGTCTGAGCAAACCCTCCCCTGGCTCCTCCCGGCAACGGGAGATGCTGATGCTCCTGCCCGGGCCTCACGCTGGGGAACCGATTCTCCCCTGGGCCCTGAGCACAGCGCAGCTCTGGGGAGCGAATCCTGAGGTCTGTGCCAACCTCAGCTTCTCCTTCGTTTTAATAGAGGACTGAGCACCGTGCCTTCACCCCCCTTCCCAAAGCATTCCATGCAGTGAGCACACAGCGGCACCCATGCAGTGGGGTGCATGGACAAGGACCAGGAACCAGCAGGAGCATCCACCTGAAGGGTCAGTTTGCAACGACCTTCCCAGCTACCAAGGTAAACACCACAAATCAAAACGTATTTGATGTCTATCAAAATACCCCCCGTGCTCACGAGGATGTTTTTCACTGACTCACTGCAGTTAATGGCCTGACAACATGGAAATACACCTCGGCCCTGGGAAACACTCCTCTGCTCAAACAGGGAACAACACTGGTCTGGCTGGACTGTAAACACGTGCTTGGGCCAGCACAAACCTGTGCTCCAAGACCCTGTGTCCAACCTGGCCTTGAACACTGCCAGGGATGGGGCAGCCACAGCTTCTCTGGGCACCCTGTGCCAGCGCCTCAGCACCCTCACAGGGAAGAGTCCTGATACCCAAGATAATATTTTATTTAAAAGTCTGCATGCAAGGCTATCTTCTCCTGTTACACAAGCTCTTTATGATGCTGGACAACTACTGCTTCACCACCTCTCCAAGTCCTTTTAGAGATGGACTCTATTTTAATTCCACAATTACTTTTTCAGATAGAATCACTGCACCCTTTCAGCCTCACCTGACAGGTACTGCTGCCTACACAAGTGGGTGTTTCAGAAGCAAACAGCGAGACTGTAGTCACCTGAGCACAGACTGGGCTGGTCATCGGGCAGCTCCAGGCAAAGCGTGTGGTCCCCATCAGCTGCAGCAGCACCCAAGAGCATCACTTTAGCATCACTTCACTCCGCAGCTCCTTTTTGAATCTCTCCTGGGTTTAAGCCAGTGGGTATCTCCCATTCTGTTTGTCTGAATACAAGAAAACCTGAGAACAACCTACTCTGGAAATTTCCCTACTGTTATCAGTTGCCTGTATCTTTAGCAAGCACATCTTCTGCACACTGCAAGCACCTCACCAAGGAAACGAATAGCACCGACAGCACTAATTCTAACTGCTGACATTAAAAGATTTGGTATATTCTCATCTTCGAGTTTCGATCTGCGTGACTCTTTCAACTGAAAA